TGAGAAGACTCCATCTGGGACACTGGAGCTCACAGAATCACAGGGTGCCTCCAAGACCATCTCTTCCAACCTCTCCATTTGATAGATGAGGCAACTGAGGCCCAGAGGGGTCAGGAGACTTGCTTGAGGTCACATGGCTTGTTAATGGCAAAGAAAGGAAAGCAAAACCTGGAGTGGGTGGAGACATCCCAGGGACTGCCCGTGCCTGGCTGAGATCCAGACACGTCTATGGCAGCAGACAGGTGTCCTCTGTCTCCAGAAGTAGAAGGAATACTCTCCTACAAACTCAGGCCTTCCATGGTGCTATTAGGGTGGCTCATCTTACTATCCCCCAACCCGAAGCAGTGCTGTCCCAGTCACGTCACTGACCACGTCACAGGTCACGTGGGGCTTCCAGGAATCACAGGCCTCCACAAAACCTCCCCAATCCCTGCAGACAAGTGATTATTAACCATTTATCCAATAAAGCCCCATTGCTGGGGATTAAGTCTTAAGCCAGCTGCACAACCAGGCATCATTAAAGACTTAACAAGCTTTATAAAAAGTACCATAATGGCAGCCAGGAGGAAAACAAGGCAGAGGAGGGGCTCGGTGAATGGAGGTGAAGGCATAAGAAAGGTTGACCCCCACTGGGTGGTCTTTCTCTTCCTGACACAGCCAACTCTACAGTTCTGCCCTTGGACTGTGCTGTGCACACAGACCCGCGTGTGCTGAGCAGGGAGAGGGTCAAGTGGCCTCCTTGGGCCCTGCCTCATGTTTCCTCACATAGAGCTCCTCCTTTCGGGTGACGACACAAGGCGCCCTTCCAAACCCAGCTTTGGAGTGAGCGGGGAGAACCCCAATGAGCGGAAAGCATGCTACAGTTTATAAAACCCTTTCACACACCTCCCGTCCAGGAGCAACGGGGCTCCGGGGCGCTGCGGGTCACATGCAAGAGCCAGGTTTCACTCCTAGATCTGCTCTCCTCAGCACGATACCTTTTGAAATAAATGGATGCCACTGGGTCGACACTCTCAACTCACAAAAAGAAAACTGACCAGGGAGAGTGGGCAAGACTCGGGGCTTTAACTGCCCATTTGGCAGCTGGAGGCCCCAGGATGATCCTCTGGACAGCCAGGTCCAGAGGCTGAGCTTCCCATTCTGGACAGTTGTTCTAAATCTTCAGGACCTGAGACAGAGCTGTGAAATAGTAAGAGGAGATGGACACCTTGCCCAGGACAGACTTGGGCTCCTGACTCTACCCTTTGACCTCAAACCTAGGGCTGTGCCTACCCTGTGACTCCAGATTCTAACTATGATCATCCAAGTTGAGGAAGCATGAAAGGGACAGGAAGAAGCAAGGCCAACAGTAGGAAGAGGACAGTAAGGGTGGAGAGCATGAAACTTGGTTTTAAGCCAAGAATAGGTCTTTAAATAAAATTAGGAGAGAATACATTAAAACGTTGATGATGATGATGATGGAAGAATGCCAGGCACATTCGCTGAGCAGAATCTCAGTCTTCACAATAATTCTATGAAGTCTGTGGTGCTGTGATCCCTATTATATAGAAGAGGAAATGAAGTACAGAGAAGGCAAGTAACTTACTCAAGACCATGGAACTAGGAAGTGACTGACTGGAGACCCAAACTCAGAGCTAAAAGACTTCAGGCGAGGCATTCATTTAATAACATGTCGTCCAGCCACAGACCCCAGATTCTCACTATGTCCTTGATACCACTTGCATAACCCCAACTAAGTCGTCTCAACCACCCGTGCCTCAGTTTCTCCTTTTGAGACCTTTTTATCTCAATAGATGGGTACAAGATCTTGGCAAATACAAAGATGACATATGCTAAATTCGAATTGGAATGTCCTTCTTGGAACAGTTTCAACAGGACTACGGTAAGTATTCAATCTCCAAGCAAGAGGCAGCAATACTAACAGTAATTAAAATAACTCCAAACAATGCTTTTCATACCAGGAGCTGCAAATTAAGTCTTTTAAGTCCTTGGGAGAAGTCTGAGCATTGAACTTCTGGTACTGCTTAGTCGTCAGAGAACTTTGCTCCCTGAATTGTTCAAAGCAGGCGCCATTTAAAAAAATTTTTTTTTTACAAAGTCTGTTAATTACATTTTAAAAAATCACTATAATAATCTAACCCTTCCATCGAAGATTTTACTTTATTATCAGATAAAACCAGTTTATGCCTCTGAAAATTGTAGCTCTCTCCAAAGACAAACAAAAGGCACCCAGAAGCAAACAGCTTCTCATTTCCTTACATACAGACAGAAAGCCTTGCAAAGTATTGCTGAGTATTTTGCCAGCACAATCTTATCTACGACAGCTGCTTAAGAGGGTGACCCTAAGGAGGTCAAGATTTTTCCACTAAGTCATGCTTTTTAATCATCTAGGCAGCAGAAAAATGAGAGGTTGCAACTGTAATTTGACGGGGTGGGGAAGCCAGTGGAAAAAAGGACTCAAGTCAGACTTGCCAAGCACATGACAGGTAGGGTTGAGGCAGCAGGCCAGCCCGGCATGCTGTTTGCCTGCATGAACTGGCAGAGAATAAGGAACTGCCCTTGTTCCAGAAAGAAATTGCTTCTGGTTAAATTTCTTACCCCAAAGCGCCTCTGCTCTCTGGACAGAAAAAAAAAAAGACCAAAATTGCCCCCCCCCAAAAAAATCCTTGTCTCCTCATTCTGTAGCAAAGGCTTAGGTCCAGAAAGGAAGATAGGGAGGCTCTGATAGGCATTTTGCAGCCTCATTCCCAGGACAGGGAAGATCTAGAAGCATCCATCTCCAGCTATGATTCTCTCCGCTCTATCCAATCCTCCTTCTGCCAGCAATGGATTCCACATCCAGCTGTCACATTAGGCTGTCACAGCTGATGAGTTGGATGAAACTAATAGACACCCAAGTTCCCTCTTTTGTAAATGGAGTGAAGTTTTGAAGATCATACACATCAAGAATATCCCGGGTCCCACATGTCCCACTGTGTAGAAATAGCAGGCATTCAAACTTGATAATGGTGAATTTTATAGGGGGCATGTCTTCAGAGGCCTCCTTTGCCAGGTGGCTTCTAATGCCAACAGGCCCTGATGTTTTCAGAAACTCAAATGTATTTACTTGAACAGTCAAGAAAAAATTAAGACCTTCTAAGAGGAAGAAACGGTCTGTGAGATGTAGTTTGGATGCCAATATACTAGAATTTCTGGCTTTATAGATCAGAGTTGTCCAACAGAACTTTCTGTGATAATGGAAGTGTTGTCTGTCTGTGCTGCCTGACAGTAGCCACTAGCTGCATGTGGCTATCAAGCACTTGAAATGAGGCGAAAATTTTTAATTTTCTTTCATTTTTAAATTTATGGCATATGTAAATATAATATAAATTTAAATTAAATAGCTACATGTGGCCAGTGGCTACTGCATTGGACAGCACAAACGTAAATGTTTAAATATGAGGACAATGAGAGCAGAACTGTCCAGGAAAACTCAGGCTGTCTGGCTGATGAACCAACACAGGCAGCCTCAGAGCAGAAGTCTGGGGTTGAGGGTGAGCCCCTGGAGATGAGGAATTAGTCAGTAGGCTTTTTGTTTAAGTATAAAAAGTTGCCAGTCAGTCAGCTCCCGTTTCAGCCATGGAGGGGAACTGAAAGGCAA